CCCCCAAAACCCCAAAACCCCAAAACCCCAAAACCCCATAAGAGTGGCTTCAGATTGATCAACTTAAAATTAATAACCTCCGTCTGATTCGTCTTCTCCTTCGCCTAAAGTAAGGTTAGATTTTACATTATTGCAAACAGTTCGTTTTTAGCTATCTAATATCCTATGTATAAATTTAAATGCCTGATTATATCGTAAAATCTTTCTGAAAACTTTTGAAAGCTAAAATATTCTATTTCATAGTCTCAAATGTCGGAGATATTAGTGAAAATTTCGAGAGTTCTTACTGCTTTCATCTGAGTCTTCAATAGGCTTTCTGTCTATCTTAGTAGGATTCCTGTTAATTCCAGTATCAGAATCATCTCCTTCTTCATTAGCTGGAAGAACGACGGCCTATAATCTTATAAAGGAGAGGGTACATTTCCTCTGGAAGTGTCCACAGACTCTTCTATACTTGATTCTTCATCTTCATCTTCAAATCCAGGGCTGCTGTTTCTTCTTTCCTTTGCTCCCTTAGAGTCAGCACTCTTATCTCTCTTTAGCTTCGGCTATAGACGTTTAAAATTTATTGTGGGAAATGGCTTACATTCTTGGCACTCTTTGGGCTATGTTTCTCTTCTTCTGATGGCACAGCATCTATTGAAGGATTATGAATTATTTCATAAGCAAGGCCTTACTGTAATTCTTTCTACCGGTGTCTAACTTTAATGTCTTAGTAGCTCTCTTTAGGAGAGGAGCAAAATCTTGACCCCTAGACTTAATCAATTGTCTCTGTAATCTAGAAATTTCGTTTTGTTGGTTAGCTGGTGAAGTGGTATTCCTGACACCGATCAGTAGTGTTTTCAACAGATTAGTAGTTTGTCTCTGCTGGTTCTCTTCTAAAACTGCATCATGAACGTTTTTCTTCTTAAATGGATCAAATGTGGAATCTTCAGCTGCTATAATAGAGTTAGATTTTAATAAGTCTTACAATTTTTCTTGGTTCTGGCTGCATGATGTAAGGATTTTTCTAATCTCACAGGCAAATATCTGATGTGGCATAACACTCTGAGATGGTGAACCCACGATACAACTTTGTGAATAGTGGATAGAATAAGCTTGATAACAACAATTGAAGACAAAAAGAATCCAAGTCCAAGGAGGAAACTATCATTATCATTTCTTGATAGGTTTGTAACAGTTGCCCCGACAGCTGCATTGACTAGAAGCCACACAACTAAGAAATTTGCTCTATAGTTTTTGTACATCTCATCCTTTTTAGCAGCTGCTTGTCTTAATCTTGCTTGTTTATTTTTGTCTGTGTTTGTCCCTCCTGGTCTTGATCCCCAAGACACATCATGAATATTTGCAATAGCAAAAATTGTGAAAATATTTGAATAGGTTGGACTTAAATAGACAGCATATACTGCTCCCTTCAAGAAATCAGCAACTTTAAGATGATTCAGATTCAGAATAAGTGGGATAAGGAAGGAAGCGAAAAAGATTCCTAATAATGCTACAGCAATTTGGTTTTGTTCGCTATCAAGAGCAAAGAAAACTGAACATACAACCATTAATATCGTAAAAGCTCCCATGACCAATGAACACAATCTGAAGCCAGTTTCTGCATAGTTCACTTGCACTGTAGTTGAGAGCATTAGACAAAAGAACAAGAAAATTAAATAGATATTCTCAAGAATATTTGAGAGAGAGGTTACATTGAGGCAGTCGTCTGCTGGCAAAACAGCTCTAACAAATACACTGAAAGCAGAATAAAATAACCCAACAATAATAAATGACAAAGCAAGAAGTAAGAGCATGTATGCATACAGGATCATGTAGAAAACATTTCTGACGAAAGAAGTCCAGTTCCTCGCCCATATTCTGTACATTGACTTCATAACATGGAAGGTAGCGAACATTGAACCATTAAACCATCTTCTTCTTTGTTTCACCAATTGAGTCAGAGAGAGAGGAGGATCTGTCAAGCATTTAGCACCAGGAATATAATGGATAATAAATGATGCATTGGCTTTAGCAATAATCTCTAAACACATGATACGATCCTCAGCTAGGTATTTATTTGCAGTATCACAAGACATGATATTTGTCACATCACCAAATTCATCTTTGCATCCTTTCAGAAATTCTGAAAGAGGTTTTCCATTGATGCACTCCCAGCGGAAAGTAGAAAATGCTCCTGGAAGTACAGAGACAAATCCAAACAATGACTCTGTAGCCTTGTCCATATAATGAGAGACCTTATACTCTACATATTGGGCACGTAAGAGGACACTTTCTACAAAAGTGACAGGCTCGATTCCATCTTCTTTCTTTTCTGCTAGAATACATTCAATTTCACCACATGCTCCTCCTACATCAGGGAAGGTTTCCATGTGCATGATGATCTTCGAGATAGAGTTCCAGAGAGGGATAGATCCACAATCGATAATCTGTGCATATACAGGATCCATCATTCTACAGAAACCTTTGAAGAACCACTTGTGACTCTCAATTTTACCTTGATTGTTATGCTTAATAATAAAATGAATAGGGAGACTGAAATGATCATACTTCTGCTCTTTTACTTTACCTTGCTCATCATTCCCAACCAAGAAGTCATAAACTTCGTATTGATCTATCATCAAAAAGTCTCTTTGGCTTTGCGGCAATGCCTCTTCCCATTCCATGAAGCTCATGACTCTTGAGAAACAATGGCCAATATTGTTAGCACCATAGGCTCGGATATCTCTGTACTTTTTAGCTTGGCGATCTTCATCCAGATCACTGTCATATTCAGAATCTTCTTCTTCATCATCTTCTTGATCTTCCTCTGGGACTTTTCTACTAACCATGTTCTCAGTATCGATAAAGAGAAGATTTTGGAATTTTGTCTTTGGATTATTGGTGTTGTGGTCAATCTTTGTATAATTTTTAGCATTTAGCTTCTTTATATCGTGGATATTAGCTCTTTCGTAGCACTCCAAGTGTTCTGGGTTTTCCATCAATGGTCCATAACCATCAGACACAATTACAACTTGTACCCTGTTCAGGAAAGTCGGATCAAGTTCAACTACAATCTAGGGTTATGATTATATTGTAAACAAACCAAAGGAAAAAGAAATGGTGAACTTTATCGAAAAATTTTAATTGGTGAGCGAATTTCCAAGATGTTGAGGTTGAGCAGCAATACTATTTTAAAGAAGTATACTGTAGGTTTATAAATTTATTGAACAGAAAGAAACTAATTTATCGGCTTTAAATAAATATTTAGCAAAAGTTCGATCTGATTAGAGAAGGATATCCAACAGTTACATTTGACACCAATTTGCCATACAAGAGAGTCCAAACAAACTCAAACTGGTCCATCTCATCTAGCTATGAAATAGTATTTCATCCTAATGACTTATTCTTCTAATCTAACTTAGCTACCCTCTTTTTCTTCTAGCTTAAAATATGAATAAGCTTATGTACGTTCAGTCCCCTTTACTCACTCAATTCATAGTATGCACGGTAGATTCCAGCGAGGGATTCTACCATTTGCTTTGGTGGCTCATTGTACATGGTAATACAGATAAGAAGCTTTGGCCTTCTTTTGTGTATTCCATAGCCGATAAGACTATTTTCATCAATAGGAACATCATTAGCCGCCTGGTTGAACTCGTGCCATTTATCATCAGCATTTCCAATATGCTCCTTCATTATGTAGTCCTCATTTGCAGTATTAAAGTGGTCTGGATTGACCAAAGAAAGTGGAGTGTACTTATAATTCTCTCTAAACGGGTCTAGCTCCTTTACTTTCGCAACCTCATCTATGTTGTCAGGGTGCTTGCGGTCCTCTATTTCCATTTGAGTTTGATAAAATATAATTAATTCAGGTAGAGTCGAGTATATAGGGGTTTTGGGGTTTTGGGGTTTTGGGGTTTTGGGGTTTTGGGG